ATTGTAACCACGGCGTGCGCTGCCACTAGCTTGTCCACCATTGCTCGCTGACCTGGTTGAAGATTCAGCTCCTTAGGCAATCTGACAACCACGATCGACCATGCTATTCCCCTCGCCCTTGCAAGGGATGCTTGCGACTGTAACAGCTGCTTGAACACCTCCACCTCCTCATCAGGAGCATCAGAGGAAACAAAAAGGATGGTCAGGTTTAACTCCATCATTTTCAATGCTGTACACTCCGCCACCGCCTGTAACGGCCAGTACCTTATATCCGTCATCCGGTGGCTATGCTCAAGAAAATCCGTCCGCCGAAGGTGTATAGAAGCATAATTCCCCCCAATGTACTCTTCTATGAACCCTGCAGCCTGGTCAAGCACTTGCTGGGGTGGCTGGAAGAGCAGCTTACACGAGGTGTTGAAAAACCGGCTAGGCCAGAAGGAACTCAGAACCAGGATTATTAATCTTGAAGAATGAGAAGAAGAGGTCACCCAGAGCAAGCACAGGAACGTCAGCAGTCGCAGCTGCAATCTTAGGAGCCAGGTCATAGAGATTACTGTCCTCCTCCGGGACAGTCACTTTTTGTAACAGCTTGATTTCTGCAGTCTCGCCGCAGCTGCCATCTATGAAGGTACAGCTGTATTGCACCTGACCGCAGAAGAATTTATCAACCTCTAATACGCTTCCATTACCGCCTTTTGATTTTGACAATTCTAATCCTGATATCACCTTCCGGAGATGCTGGTCTGCTCCGTTTCCCTGACCTGGTTGCTCGGGCTTAGGCTCGTCTCCAAAGCACCGGGACAAGTGGCCAATGTCTAGAATATCAGAATACACCACCGGCCGACCGAGAGAGCGAGGGACGCAGAGAGGAACCTCGGGAACGAGCAGCGTGCGATTGAGGAGAATCGCTGCCAGAATGGTCTTCTAAAAGCATAAGAGGCGATTTGTGCTTCCGCCGTTGGTGCATGAAAGCATAAGGTACCGGTTGGGTAGTGGGACCCATTCCGGTACTGCAGTAAGAGGTTCGGTTGTGGATGATGCGGAAGAAGGCGGGAGCTGTACGCCAATGGGAGCGGCGCACGTGTCACTTGAGAGTTGCTCAGTTGGGGATGAATTCAGTACTAGCCTCGGACTGACAGACTGCTGCAACTGGACCACTGTGCTTGTATCGAGACCAGACGCATCCGCTTGAGAAAAATCCGCTGACTGGAAATGCTCGGAACGGACAGGAAGAGGCTCTAAAACGGTTGAACGAGGGGAGGCTGAGAGGTACCCGAGGCTGAACATAACGGCGGCGACGAGGAGGAGGTGGCTGTAGTAGGGAAGCGGGTGAAGCTGGGCGAGCAGGTTGGACCGTTGCTGCTGCTGCTGCTGCTTCTCCGGGTGATGCGGTACGTCATCATGGTGTAATGGAAGGGAGGGAGACGACAGCGTCATAGTGATGGATCACAAGCTTACCACTGCTTAGCTTAGCACAAGCTACAAGCTACAAAAAGGGGGTTCGCGTTCTTTGTGATTTCTGAAATCGTAAGCCGTGATAGGCTCTCACCAGTTCTCTCGCAAAGATTGAATGCTGAGGTTATCGCAGAAAGTTCTCTCGTTACAATAGCGTTCAACCGCCGGCCAGGACGGTAGTGTAGAGTCATCAGTCGTTTTGGGATGTCACACAGATTGCTCCTGCATAGAGGCTGTCCCAGTAAACTGCTGAGAGGGCCTGCGTCCAAGAATCCTCGGAGATGATGTAATTCGGTCAACGAATTGACGGACGTTGCCGAATTCGCGACACTTATTGCCGAACAGAAACTTGACATTTGTACGTCTCTTATCAGGGAAGTTATTCCGGAGGGACCTCGCTGAGCAGAAAAAGACGCGAGTAAGCCGTTTGGGTTTTATCAGAGGAATTCGTTCCCTCACGGGGTTCACTCCCTTGACCTCCATCGCCAGCGGACGTCAAGCAGCACTTTGAACTAACTGCCGCCAGCGAAGAGTGTGCGCGCAAGGACGCCTTGAGTTTGAGACAAATGCAGGCGTTTCAAATGGAGTCGAGGCAGTGAAACCTCAGGTCCATCTGGTGTGAGCCTCTTGCATTGCGGCAACGGAATGCCTTCAACCTCAACGTCGCCTCGCCAGTTGAGGGAACCGAGTTTCTCTCAACGTCGCCTCGCCTTGCAGATGCAGGCCTGTTCACCTTTTCCCCCCACCCAAACCCACCCCACCCCACCCCACCACACGACGAGCAGCCCCGTTCGCTACCCCCACCACCAAACCACGAGCACCACTTTGCCAGCTCCCTCGGACCGGACCCGCGCTGAGAGAACGAACAGCCTAGCAGCGAAGCTGCAAAGGGTCCCTCCCTCCGCTCCCCTGCCAGGCCAGCCAGAGTCACGGCTTGACGGGGCGAGAAATGTTGGCAGCGAAACCGATTCTCTTGTTTGACTATCATATTGACTCGACTGAGATCGCAATCAAGTGATTTTACCAAGTGTTTATTGAAATATACCAGCATACATAAAATAAAGTTGGCACATAGGCTAATGAAAACAGTCAATTTGGTCTGTGGGCTAATGGTACATCAACATATGGATACACTTCATAGCAATGAACAAGCAACTAATGGACCATAGACAAAGTCTTCACTGCCTCCATTTGATCTCGACAGCTTCTTTAAATCGTCCATCGCATATGTGCCCATCATGACACGATGTGAGCCCCAGACTCTCCCTTAAATACCCTATGTGGTGTGAGAACGTTGACCGATGAGTAATCATTGTAACCACGGCGTGCGCTGCCACTAGCTTATCCACCATAGCTCGCTGAGCTGGTTGAAGATTCAGCTCCTTCGGCAATCGGACAACCACAATGGACCATGGTTTTCCCCGCGCCCTTGCAAGCGATGCTTGCGACCTTAGCTGCTCCTTGAAAACCTCCACCTCCTCATCAGAAGCATCAGAGGAGACGAAAAGGTTGGTCAGGTTTAACTGCTCCATTTTCGATGCAGTACACTCCGCCACTGCCTGTAACGGCCAGTACTGTACATTCATCCTGTGGCTATGGTCGAGAAAATCTGTCCGCCGAAGGTGTATAGAGGCGTAATTCCCCCCAAAGTACTCCTCTATGAACCCTGCAGCCTGGTCAAGATCTTGCTGGGGAGGCTGGAAAAGCAGCTTACACTGGGTATTAAAGAATCGGCTTGGCCAGAAGTATTCGGGACCAGGGTCTCCAATCTTGGAGAATGAGAAAAAAAGGTCACCAAGAGCAAGCACAGGAACGTCAGCCGTTGCAGCTGCGATTTAGGAGCCAGGTCAAAGAGATTACCACCCTCCTCCCCGAGAATCTCTTTATTTGAGAGTTTTATTTCCGGAGGGATGTTGCCGCAGCTGCCATCTATGAAGGTACAGCTGAACTGTACCTGACCGCAGAGGAATTTATCGACCACTAACTCGCTTCCACCACCTCCTCTTAAACTCAAGAGCTCTGATCCTGATATCACCTTACGAAGAGCCTGGACATGCTTCAGCGAACCTGCTTCTGTGACTGACTCCTCGGGTTTTGGCTCGTCTCCAAAGCACCGGGACAAGTGGCCAATGTCTAGGGTTTCAGAATACACCACCGGCCGACCGAGAGAGCGAGGGACGCAGAGAGGAACCTCGGGAACGAGCAGCGTGCGATTGAGGAGCATCGCTGCCAGAATGGTCTTTTGAAGGCATAAGAGGCGATTCGTACTTCCGCCATTGGTGCATGAAACCATAAGGTACCGGTTGGGTAGTGGGATCCATTCCGGTGCTGCAGTGAGAGGTTTGGTTGTGGCTGATGGAGAAGGGGGGAGCTGGACGCCAATGGGAGCAGCACACGTGTCATCTGAGCGTTGTTGGTCATCCCGAACCTGCCTGTCTCGTAGGTTCTGGTCCGGGGTCTGGTTCGGAAGTGATGGGCTGGAGTCTGGTCCGGTTTCAGGCTTGGAAGGAATGTCAGCTGGGGATGAATTCAGTAACCTCGGACTGACAGTTGCCTGCAGGTGGATCCCTGTGCTTGTATCGAGGCTAGCGGCATTCTTTTGACGAGAATCCGAAGGCTGACGTGGACCAACCGTACCACTGATGGTTCGATCTAGAACCGGATCGGTAGCAAAATCTCCCAACTTTCCCGAATGCGATGATTCAGAAGCATGAGGCGACTCGAAGGTGCTTGGAAGCTCTGAATCTGACGACTCAGATAACCCAGAGGGGCCTTGGAGTGGTTGAGCAGAGTAGGCTGAGAGGTACGCGACGCTGCAGGTGACGGCGGCGACGAGGAGGAGGTGGCAGTGCAGCTGGTGAAGCTGGGTGAGCAAATGCGACCGTTGCTGCTGTTGTGGCCGATGCGGTACGCCATGGCGTAAAGGGAGGAAGGCGGACGACGACCTCATTGCGATCGATCACCACTGGTTACCACTTATTACCGCAAGCTACCAGAGATTACCACAACTACACGAGGACGCAAGCGCTAAACAAATGACACCCATTGACGAAGCGCATTCTAAAACAAATCTCTGATTCTTCAGTGCAGACTATGACCCGCACTGACCGTTCGCGAAGATCGACTGCTGGAGTTATCCGAGCAGTTCTCAAGGTGTCGTGGGCTCGTTATCTCGAAGGTTGCTTGTCTGCTGGAGCTATCTGATCCCAGTGGATATCATCAGTCCATCTTGATATTGCCGATTCACGTATCGTTGTCCAGACAGGTTGGTAACGGTTGACAGGGGTCAACAAATCAGACATCACAGCATCGTACTCCACCGGTTTTTATCCCCAAACAATAAGTTCACGTACCCCTCCGAGAAGCAGGCTGCACGTGCAAGTCCAGTTGCCCCTGTTTGCCAGATCCACCTCCAGCAGGATGGGCCATCCTCGATACTGACGTTTCTGAACTTGAGATGACAACGACCCACCCACTCAGAGTAACCAGAAAGGTATATGAACCATTCAACACCCTCATAGTGCACACATTTATCTTGAAAAGGTTCACTGGTTTCTTTGCAAGTGAACAAGGGCCCACCCATCCTCCTCTTCAATAGAGATTACTTTGGCATATGGAGTGTATGCTGTAACTACTTGCTCCACCTGCCAAACGTAGACAACTTGATTAGCACATCTAGTCATCAAACCAACCCAAAAACACAAGACAATGCTTCCAAACCAGACCGTACCTGATTGGTCAATATGCCTGACAACCCAAGCCTCCCACCAGGCTTGGTTCTGGAAGAAATCCGTTCAGCCAATAGAAGAAGAGGGTTGACGAGGATGTTGGCGGCCACAACGTCAAACAGCACGCGTGGCTCCGACGAATCAGACACCGCCAGCTCAGCAGGGAGGGACGGCAGAGTTACACTACCACCAACCCTAGATTCCGTAGCACCGGCCCCTCCTGCTTCATTATTGTCAAACTCGTTAAGAGGGTCTGGGCCATCCGGGTGTGTGAGAAGGACGGTGAATTGCGAAGAGGAGATGCTGTTGAGGGATGCGTTGTGGGCTGCTGCTGCCACTGACAGCTCATCGATATCCACCCCCACCGCTGCTGCTGCTCCCATCCTGATCCCCGCAATCGTAAGCACGCCAGAGCCTGTGCCGTAGTCCAATAGCGTGCTGCCAGGTGTCACGACCGAGCGGAGCCAGCGCAGGCAGAGGCGGGTGGTGGGGTGATCGCCGGTGCCGAATGCGAGACCAGGCTCGAGAGTGATGGCTAGAGAGGGGTGGTCTTGGGACTCCTCTTGAGAGATCTGAAAAGGTGGGGAGGCAGAACAGAGAGGTGGGTTGGCAGCCAGCGCAGGCAGAGGCGGGTGGTGGGGTGATCGCCTGTGCCGAATGCGAGACCAGGCTCGAGAGTAATTGCCAGAGAGGGGTGGTCTTGGGACTGGTCTTGTGATACCTGGACATGTGGGGATGCAGAACAGAGAGGTGAGTTTGCAGCCGGCACATGCAGAGGCGGGTGGTGGGGTGATCGCTGGTGCCGAATGCGAGACCGGGCTTTAGTGTGATTGCAAGAGAGGGTTGGTCTTGGGACTGGTCTTGTGACTGGTCTTGTGATACCTGGAAAGGTGGGGAGGCAGAACAGAGAGGTGAGTTTGCAGCCGGCACATGCAGAGGCGCGTGGTGGGGTGATCGCCCATGCTGAAGGCAAGACCGGGCTCGAGAGTTATGGCTAGAGAGGGGTGGTCTTGGGACTGGTCTTTGTGATACCTGAGAAGGGGTGGGAAGACGGAAGGGGGAATTCACAGCGCAGGCAGCGGCGCGAGGTGGGGTGGTTACCGGTTTACGAAGGCGAGATCCGGCTCGAGAGTGATGGTCTGGCCAGACAGGGATGAGATGCGACTGGCCAGAGAGTGATGGGATGAGTTGAGATGAGGCTGCTCTTGAGACTGGCTTAGAGGGAGGTGAAACGAAAGGGGTTCTTCTGTGAGGGTGTTGAGAGGGCTGAAAGCAGGGTGAAGGAAAACAAGAGTGGAATTCTGCACTGCAGTCCATGCAGGGACCAGGCTTCAAAGAACCAAAGACTTATATTTTCGTAACAGTGTGTACCATTCCAAGGCCTGTGGCCATACCTCTTCAGGAAGTGTGGCCCAGGATGGGACGATCCAAAGGCCTTGGTCCACGCGGATGGGATGGAAGGAGTCCTGCACGCAGAGAGGCAGGGTGGAAAGGCAGGGATGCCTTTTTAGCTGATTCAGAAGTCCACTAAACAAATGTTCGGTCAACACAGATAGCAGGAAAGGACGATCCAAAGGCCTTGGTCCATGCGGATGAGATGGAAGGAGTCCTGCAGGCAGAGAGGCAGGGTGGAAAGGCAGCGCATTGTTTTTGGCAGAATAGAAAATGATTCAAACGAAATGTTGAGTCCTTGGTCCAGGCGGATGGGACGAAGTGATTAAAACGAAATGTTGAGTCCTTGGTCCACGGACCACCCCTCCTCGACCACCAGCAACACTACCCTTGTACCATAGGCCAACTCTAGAACACTTTTGGGATGAGTTTGGCATAGATTCAAGACTCACCTGTACTTGCTGCACCCAGTCTCGCTCCACCACCTCCTCTGCCCCCAGCAACATTACTCCCACACCCCCCTCCCTCTCCTCCCCATCCTTCCCTCCTCCACCTTCCTCTCCCTCTTCCTCCTCCTCCCCCCACCCCCCCATGGCCCACTGCACTGAGTCTGCTGCCCGGTGAACAGTGCTGCGGATGTTCTCCTCGTCCTGATTGGCTGGGAAGAACGCCCGTAGCCGAGTCTGGAGCAGGGGAATCGGGAGAAGAAGAAGTATCTGGTTATGAAAAACATTTGAAAAAAATCACACCCAAATTCGAGTTGTCGAAGAGGAATAGGAGGATAATGAGAGGAAGCGGGTTGGGGAGAGGGAGGGCGGGCGACATTGCAGACTCACGACAGGAAAACGAATGCCACGGAAAGACTGGGGAGAGAGGTGGGAGGGACAGCTGAAATCGGAGGGAGTGAGAGAAAAACCAGTGCACAGTGACTACTCACAGTAAACGACTCAGTTTTTTTTTTAAATTATTATTATTATTATTTGGGCCTATAAGAGGTTAAATGGAACCTTTTGAGACGGGTAAAGACGGCGCACCTGATTCCAGAGGTTGCGGGGGCCACTGGGATCCCAGGGAATGGGCCCGGATGAGTATATCTGTGATTTTGCAGAACAAGAATGGTGAAAGCAGAGGGGGGAAGGAGCCGAATGTGGGGAGGGAATACGCATGTTCATGTGTTGATACGTATGTTCATGTGTTGATACGTATGTTCATGTGTTGATACGTATGTTCATGTGTTGATACGTATGTTCATGTGTTGATACGTATGTACATGATGGGATACGCATGTTCATGATGGGATAGGCATGTTCATGATGGGATACGCATGTTCATGATGGGATACGCATGTACATGATGGGATACGTATGTACATGATGGGATACGTATGTACATGATGGGATATGTATGTACATGATGGGATACGTATGTACATGATGGGATACGTATGTACATGATGGGATACGTATGTACATGATGGGATACGTATGTACATGATGGGATACGTATGTTCATGATGGGATACGTATGTTAATGTGTTGATGTGCATGAGTTCTTGCATGTGAGGAATGAGTTTATGGGAGTGTGAGAGCATGCATGAATGCATGTGCATGCGAGTAGTGCAAAGGCGGTAAAGATGAGCGATGAGTGAGGAGGAGTGCAAAGTTGGTAAGAGGGAGAGTGAGGAGTGCGAAGGTGGTAAGAGGGAGAGTGAGGAGTGCGAAGGTGGTAAGAGGGAGAGTGAGGAGTGCGAAGGTGGACCCCCTACCTCTTTCCCACCCCCCTACCTCATGCTCACCCCCCATACCTCCTGCTCGGCTTCTGTGCCCGTATTGGCATCCTCTATGGAGCATGTAGTGGCTCCTAGAGATAGCAGAGCGTCCATTAACGCGTCCTGGGTGTACATGCGGAGGATTTGGGTGAGGGAGAAACAGCAGGGGAGGTCGGGGTCAGGGTTCGGGGTTCAGGATCCAAGGGTTTTACTTTGAAGAACACGGCGAATCACTTACAGCCACGTGTCCAGGGCATGTCATGATGGCAGCGCGCGTGACGCAGACCGACAAAGGATCAGATGGTGACGTGTCATCTTGCGATGCAATCCCCCCTCTCGCTTCATGTCCTTCTCTGCTGAACGCTCTGCAATTTCCGGGTAGATTCCCAGCCGCATTTGTTGGGAAGCTTCGCCGGCTGATGCTGCTGTTGCGGGTAACCGATCGTTGACAAAGGTATCTAAACACGGAAGCGGGTGCTTGAGAGGAACTAGACTGTTTGGATGAGGCACGAGTGTGGCCAGGATTGATCATGGCCGTTGAAGGAAATGACGCCATACGAGTACATAATGTGCCGGCCATTCTGACCAAGTATGGCGAAATGCCTCCCACGATTCGACGCCGACCAGCAATTTTTGCCTGATAACCAGTATATGAAGGGAAGGCTACGAAGGATAATGCGACGAAATTTTGTCGTAGAGATAACAATTCGGGGTATGGTTGTGAGTCTGTGAGACGAAAGACGCACCGACGCTTCAGATTGAGCAAAATGTCGCGCAGAAGCGGATTTTCATCGGCCTGACCACTAGCCTCTGAGACTGCGTGCCTTCTCTTGTTATTCCAGCAGCGGCTGGCATTCAGTCTGCTCTACCCGTTACAGCGTTCACCACTTCTGAGACCCCTTCAAATTGGCAGTTCTGATATAAGACGCATTCAAGTCAGCATACAACACTTTCCATGCACTGAATCAGGCAAGAATCCAACTTCACCGGTACCGGTACAACTGTTTTCCATAATAAAGCACGAGAAAACCACAATATATTTTCAACTAATGGAACCAATGGCTGGCCCAATCCCCTCCCTGGGCATGTCGTTTCTTCCACCCACCACCTCCCCACACTCAAGGTAGCTTGACTCTTCCATTGCCCCACCACACTCCCCAATCACATACACATGTCCATTGCGGCACCAGTACCAGTGTCCCCCTCCCTCCTAAGCCCACAGCTTCAAATCCTGTTAAAGAACCCAGTGGCTGGGGCATTCCCTTCTCGAAGCCTGTGACTCGTCCCACCCACCACCTCCCCACACTCAGGACAGCTTGACTCTTCCATTTCCCCGCCACACTCCCCAATCACGTTCACATGCCCATTGCAGCACCAGTACCAGTGACCCACTCCCAAGCCCACATCCTCAAACCCTGTTAAAGAACCCAGTGGCCGGGGTGTTACCTTCTCGAAGCCTGTGACTCGTCCCACCCACCACCTCCCCACACTCAGGACAGCTTGCCTCTTCCATCGCCTTGCCACACTCCCCAATCACATACACATGCCCATTGCGGCACCGGTACCAGCGACCCCCTCCCAGTCCTATCGCTTTGAAGATATCCGCCTTCTCGCGTTCGGTCACAGCGAAATATTGAGGTTCGTCCCGAACAGATTGCTCCAGCTCACGCAAGTCTTTCTCAAGCATTCTCCGAGCGCTGCCCCCAAGGCTGTCGTTCTCTCTGACCGAGGCCAGGTGGTGAGAGGCCACCATATGACACTGAATATTGGCCCTCTCAAGATACTCCAGCTGCTGCTTCTTTGATACATCCTGCCAGACAAAGTGCACAAAACATCCTTCTTTGATACATCCCGTGACGTGAGCCATCGAAGTCTGCAAAACAGGAGGAGGTTGGGTGGGAGAGATCCGATCCAGACGAGGATAAATGCAGTGTACTTTTCTCACCAGGCCAGCAGGGGAAGCTGAAAGAAGGCGTTCCACCATCATGCCTTCCACGAACGCACGGAACAAATCAACCAGCTCCAGCCTCCCCCTCACATGTTTTGAGTCTACTCATATCACAACACGGTAGGTCGGGACAAGAGCAGCGTTCTCACCAGGCCAGCCGGGGAGGTTGAGAGCAGGCGCTCCACCACCATCCCCTCCACAAACGCACGGAACACATCAGCCATCTCCAGCCTCCCCCTTGCCTCCAGCCGATGCACCTTGCGCCTGCCAGCCAACTCCACCGCCTCCCCCACGTGCCTCTCTGCGTACCTCAGACCCATCAGCACAACCGCCCTGCAATTCTCCACGTGCCCCGCCAAGAACGCTGCTCTATCAGTGCTGTTCTTATCAGTCTGACCAGCATTTTGACCAGCATTCTGACGAGCATTCGGACGCGCATTCTGAGGAGCCAGATTCTGGAGTTCTTTCAGCAGGCAGCGCAGCTGGGGAAAATTGGCAGCCATGAGCAGCTGGTAAGCTTTCCCCAGCAGCATGAGGGCTTCGCAGAGAGGCCGGGGGTCTGGCTGGGGCACATACAGCAGCTGGCACTCCTCTTCCCACGCTGACGCAGACGAGACAGCACCCAGATTCTCAGGAGAATCTGCAGGTGAATCGGCTCCGGATGGTGAAGCTCCCAACAGGAGGTGCTTTCTCTGCAGTGCAGCTACAGAAGCCTGGTAGGTCTTCTGAGTAGGCGGTTCCATAGCCGTGCCTTGCAGCTTGCTTGCCTCCACTACCAGAAAGGTTGCAGCTCGAGCTAACCCCCATACCTGCCACGGTTGGGCAGCCTCCGGACACGCAGATACAGCCTGGCTCAGCTGAGACAGCTTCTGGTGGAGCTGCTGCTGGTCTGCCAGGCAGCTGAGGGCGAACTTGCGCTCTGATTCGTCCAGCAGCGCCTTGTTCACCATCCGGCCGTACCGGCGGAGGCCTGTGATTGGCTGGCGGCACTCTGGGCAGCCCTTCAGAGCGGACAGACCGCCATCGTCAAACGGACGCACTGCCACCCACTTGCCTGCAGCTGCTTGTGAACCACCTCCTGCTCGGCCTCCTGCCCCACCTTCAGCAGCACTGCTTCCACTAGCAGACCCTTTTTCTTCTTCTTCTGACTCTTGGTAAACCTGGTTCAGACCCAGGTGGCCGTCAAGAGTCTCCACAGTGTAAGCATGACCGCACGGCAGCACCAGCACGGGACTCTCGTCCGGATCAATCTCCCCTAGCGTCTCCAGAGTGACTAGATCCACAGTCATATCCCTCTTCTCCTTCGCCCCACACCCTTCAACCGCGCAGAACCCCTTCGGAGGGCATTTCTCGGAGCAGAGGGACGGGCACTGGTGGCCGCATTTGAGTTTTTTCTCGCAGCGCTGCTCGCACGGGAGGCGGTCGCAGGGGGCGCCGCAGGGGAGCGAGCACCGACCCTGGTGCTTGCAGTGCCACCCGCAAGGCTCGGCGCAGGGCGCGCAGGTTCGGTGGCAGGGTTGGGGGCAGGAGCTGTGCTGGCAGGCCACGAGACACTTTCTGGTGCAGGGCTTGCAGGGGGTGCCGCTGTGGCAGGGGTCCGGGCAGAGGTGTGCGCAGGGGTGGGGTCGCTTGCACTGCTGCATGCACTTCTTGTGGTTTCTCTCTAGCTGCTGCTGCTGCTGTGGCTGCTGCTGTGGCTGCTGCTGTTGTACGCCCTGCCCCTGGTCGGTGGTGACAGCTGGAGCAACGATGCAGTGGCCGCAGGGAGAGATGCAGGTGTGCCCGCAGGAGTCCGAGAGGACAACACCGCAGCGAGCCGTGCAGAGCTCAGGTTTGGTTACTCTGGTGGCGGCCTCGCCACACTTGACTGTCTGCTTGTGCCCGCACAGGGGCATCGTGACCTCCATCAGTATCCTGCCACGATGGGATTAGAGAACGGAAAGGGACAAAAGTGAACATGAGAAGCGAGTGGTGCAGAGCTGGGGTTGGTTACTCTGGTGGCCGCATCGCCACACTTGACTGTCTGCTTGTGCCCGCACAGCGGCATAATGACCTCCACCATTACTCTGCTTGTTGTGGTGGTCGCCTCACCACACTTGACTGTCTGCTTGTGGCCGCACAAAGGCATCGTGACCTCCACCATTATCCTGGCACAGAGGGAAGTCGCAAAAAGAACAGACATGAGAAACTGAAAACCGAACAAGAAAAGGGGAGAAACAGCGAAGCAGTAACCGTTGGGAGGCAGGCCGCAGCCTGGGGGGCAAGGAACTCATGAGCAGAAGGTAAAATTGGGATTCTGAGTCTTGAACCACGAGACACTGAAAAGGCCAATGACCGAAGGGGAGCTGTTTTTATTTTAAGAGCTCTCAGGAACCACTTAAATGAGCGAAGTGCTTTTGAGAAACTCACGAGCAGAAGATGGTGGAGGGATTCTGAACCTTGAAGCAGGGGACATTGAAGGCCTGATGGCCGCAGGGGAGTGTGAGTTCCCTGGTGGTGACCAGACAGGGCCCACAGGGCTCGCCACACCGCTTGGGACACGTGTGCTGGTGCGGACACTCCTCCAGAGGCCGAATGCAGTTGCACTCCTTGGGGCAGAACGCACGGGCATGCGCTCTGTCGTCACTGTGGCACCTGTTGGGTGCAAGAATCAAGAGAGAAGAGCACGTGTGGTAAAGGTACTGAAACAGCACGTGTGCCGATGCTGACGGACAACGATTGCAGACAGAACGAGTGCTACTGAGAAATGTGTAGAAGGTGTGCGCTGGCGCGGACACTCCTCCAGAGGCCGAATGCAGTTGCACTTCACGGGTGCTGGTGTGGTGCGTGCGCTCTGTCATGGCCGTTGCACCTGTTGGGTAATTTTTTGAGACGTCTTTTTTTTAGTCGACTCAAAAATCGACTCAGCACACACGGGTGCTGGTGCGTGCGCTCTGTCATGGCCGTTGCACCTGTTGGGTAAAGGAAGGCAGATGAGAGAGAGAAAGAGCATTCTTGCAGCCCATGGCACACAACATGCGACTCGACTCAAATGCAACCTTGCTAAATTGGCACATACAATGCATGCATGTGGTTTCTGACCTGCGGGGACAAGTATGGCCGCAAGAAGTGAGTCTGAAGCCGCACATCTGGGAGCACCCGCCCTCGCTGGCTTTCTCCTTGAACTCCCCGGCTCTCTCAATGTGCGTCACCGTGTCCGGGTGGTTCACACAGCGAAGCGGAATAAACTTCTGCACGCGCCCCTTGCTTTCCAGCATATCCATGATCCGAGGCCAGAGCACGGACTTGGAGGTCGCAGCCTTCATGGTGCCGGCGTTGCCTGCAATGCGAAGAGGTTACAGCAGGACAGTGGGGAGAACAGGGAAGAGGGAAGGGCGGAATTGAGAATTCTCAAAAGTCGCTCCAAAGTCGCTCCTTTTGAGAATTCTCAAATGCCGGCGTTGCCTGCGAAGAGGTTACAGCAGGACAGTGGGGAGAACAGGGAAGAGCTTCTGAAAGCCTTCATGGTGAGGCGAAGAGGTTACAGCAGGACAGTGGGGAGAACAAACAAGAGGGAAGGGCGGAATGAACTTTTGAACGCGGCCTTAGCTCTCAAGCATATCCATGATCCGAGGCCAGAGGACGACAGACTTGCAGGTAGCTGCCCTCATGGTGCTAGCGTTGCCTGCTCTCAGGGAGGAGATTGGCAGTGCCACAGTGGGGAGAACAGGGAAGGGGGAAGAGCGGAATGAGCTTCTGAACGCGTCCCTTGCTCCCAAGCATGTCCATGATTTGAGGCCACAGCACGGATTTGGAGGTAGCCGCCCTCATGGTGCTGGCGTTGCCTGCTCTCAGTGAGGAGATAGGGGGAAGGGAGAAGAGAGCAGGGAGCATGGAGAACGTTGAATAAGAAGTGGACCTCACATACTATGGCTGTGATTTCCAGCGCACAGCGTAACAGACTGCTCGACACGCCCACGGCGCTGCTCTACAACAACATAGTCTCAATTCGCAGACGACCCAACACGCACGTGATGAGTCGATTTTTCGCGTGTGATGAGTCGATTTTTCGCGTGTGATGAGTCGATTTTTCGCGTGTGATGAGTCGATTTTTCGCGTGTGATGAGTCGATTTTTGAGTCGACTCAAAAATCGACACGCCCACGGCACTGCTCTACAACATAGTCCCAATTCTCAGACGACCCAACACGCACTTGCAGGGGTTTTTTTGGGAATTACTAGCAAATAATTGGAAATCCAGTATCCATGTGAAGGTCTATGACTCACCAACGATGTACATGCCATGCTTGGCGCGGGACAGCAGCACGTTGGTGCGGTTGGGGCTCTTGAGGAACCCGATGTTGCCGTCCACGTTGTTCCGTACGAGCGAGATGATGATCACCGTGCTCTCCTCGCCCTGGAAGCTGCACACTCATCAGAAAGTTGGAGGAAGGACACACATTCGAAATCTTGGGACAAACCAAGGCCTGCTCTCCTTGCTGTTGCGTATGAGGGAGATGATGATCACTGTGCTCTCCTCTCCTTGGAAACTGCACATTAGCAACGCCAGAATGGAGCAGAAGTTACTTTTGAAGCTTTGCACACTATACAGACAAGCAAAGGCGAATCCGCTCTTCCACTCTCATGCTCCACATTAACCCTCCTGTCCATACTGTTCCAGCCACACCACACCACACACTTGTGACTTTTGAGTCGACTCAAAAGTCACCT